TGTTAATTGTTAATTACCAAGAAAACATATATTATATATAAGATTAATGACAATTATATTCATTTTACTTCTGTTTGTAAACAAACTACAAAAGATAACAATATTAAAACAATTATAATAAGCATAAATAGTGGGTGAATGATAAGCAGGTAAAAGAAGTAATATATATACTGTAATATGTTAATATTTATTATGTACGTTTAAGACTTCCCTTTTTGGTATTATGTATACATACTAACCATATATGGTGAAATCTGGTCCATAAAAGGAAGGACCCTGAACATCACATTCCTTTTCGGGATAGTCTCGTGCGGCAAAATATTTTCGTTTTCAACAACCATTCGTTATTTCTTTGTAAAGCATTTTTTATTACAACAACTACTACCATCATGCTACTATTATTAAACAGCAAGTGTTTCATTAGATTTTCATGCTTCGTAGTAAATCATATTAAATTGTTTCTAATCACTGCTAATTCAAATTTTAGGATTAATTGGAAAAAAAGTATATAGTATAGTATTAACGACATAAGTAAATAATAATGTTAATGCATACATATAAAAGAAAACCACCTGAAGTCAAGATGTTTGTTACTAAATTAGGTTTTAACTTTTACACAAAAAAATCATTTTTCCTTGATTTACTATATATATCGCACAAACACGTAAATTTATGTTTTGAATGCATGCAAAATTTTTCTCCTGTAACACATACTCTTTCACATCACAACAAAAATGGGTTTCATACAAGGTACAAATATCATTTGTTACTATCTAAAGAGCTAATGGTTATTTTTTTAAGATTTATTTTTTTTATTATGCTTTGCTTTACATTTTTTTGTTTTGGAATTTTAAAAGCAAATGGTGATAGTGGATTAATGGTATTGGTGGGAAATGGATTAATGGTATTGGTGGGATATGGAGTAATGGAATAATAAAATAATTTATAAAGGATAAATGTTAAACATATAAAATAAAAAAAAAATATATTTCTCTAAATTGATAGAAATTTAAAAATTAGTATATTGAAATGAAATTAAATAAAACAAATAATAATTATTATTATTAGATTACTTTAAAATTCTTTTGTGTCTGTTTCTTCAGGATCTTGACCAGAAGGCTCCAGAAGGTATGGGCAGTCAGTAAAAATTCTACAAACTCTGTTACTGAATTTTTTTAAAAATGAAAATCAACTCACATTGGTATTTTTTTCAACAACAATGATGTTTTTTTAAAAAAAATTTGGGATTCATGAATTGAGATTAGTTAGCCTTTGACATTTCAATTTTTATTATCACCAAATCTATTAAACTCATACAATGCCTTTCTATCTGTAATTTTTTCACACGATAATAAAGTTTTACTATGAAATGTTTGGTCTCCACAATTATTTAAAAAAAAATTTTTTCATATATTAATATTAGTATAAACCATACTTTGTTTAAAATAAATGATAATATAAAGACATACCTTAGAAAGCAAAGTGAACACGATTCTGTAAATATTTATAATAATAATATTTAGGCATTTAATTTATCTTTGTACGCACTCTATATATATGAATACAAAGTCAAAATTTGACTTTAAGGCTGAGATTATTTCCGGTTTTATTAACAACTTGCTTCAAAAATTTTTTTTTAAAGCAGATACATATGACAAAGAAGTTACATATCAAATTTGGTGGCAATTGCTACACAGAAAGGGTATCAAACGAGGGTATGAAGACATTCAATTCGAAAATTTATTAATAATAGTCTATCCAGCTCTTGTAAAACAGCCCAGTTGCATTTTGTTTATGGCAACTAATCTTGCTTTGTGCTTTGTCTCAAGATATTTATCAAAATATTGTGAATAAATAAGTACTCTATCAATAATCCATTTTCTACCTCTTCTTTTGTAATTGTTGTTATATATTAAAGTCAAGCTTAACCCTTCCATTCGTAATCTTTCCCGTTTCCAACCAGTCTAATAACAGCTTCATTAATTTTATTTCCATCATTAAAACATCCAATAGACATTTTTCCCCATTCTGCAAGATAATTTTCAATGGATGGCAGATTACCACTATTGCAAGATGCTATTATATTTGAATCTAGATTGGAAATCACACAATTGAATTGAATATAATTCATTATGCATTGTTGATATCAAGTGAAAATATTTTTTATTCAAACATTTACGAATATATATATATATATATGAACATTTATTTATTTAATACTAATACTAATATAACAATGAACTATGGCTTTTTATACAATTTCTTCCCTTGTATCAGATTTTTAAGCATACCACTATTTACTTAGAAAATAAATAAACATAAAACTATGACTCAAAAAACAAAAAAATTTCGTGCTATTGCTGCATACTAATACTGCATAAAATTAGCAATACGGTATAAAAACCTAATTTTTTAAAGTTTGGCACCATATAAATTTGCAACTTTTAAAGAATGTCTAACTCCAAAATCAAGCATAATTTCTTCTGAGCCACCCTGAATAGCGTACGCACGCACTTCACGATAAAGTCGTTCAACCTTTTCACCTTGACTGATCCCCCCAAAAATTATTAATATTCGAATATAGGACAATAAATAATATTTAAAAAAATGGTTTATACATACCCTCCACGAGTATATGATAAACCACCAAAAATTTGTACTGCTTCACGAGCACAATATTCAAACGTTTGTGTTGATTGAGCTTTCAATAAAGCAATTGGTCCTTCAAGTCTTTCCATTGTTTTATCACTTGGTAGTTGATTTTGTTGATAAAGTAAACTTTCGATCCAAGCATGTGTGGCTTCTATTTGTCTTGCCATGTGTGCAAGTTTATTACGGATTACTGCATGATTAATAAGTTTTTGTCCAAAAGTTTTACGTTTGTGTGCGTATTTCATTGCCTCTTCATAACAAACACGTGCAAATCTTGTAGCTTGTATAGCAATACCCATACGTTCATGATTAAAGTCGTGCATAAGATACTAAATAAAATAAATAAACAATTAATCAATTAAATGTATATGTGTGTGTGTGTGTATATATATTTCATAAGATTTTTAAATACCTTGAATCCACGATTTTCTTCGCCAATGATGTTATTTCTTGGAACCTTTACGTCTTCGAATGTGACATAAGCAATGCCTGATGACCATACACCAGAACATTGCATTTCATGTGTTTTAATACCTGGCATGGTTCTTTCAATTAAAAGAAGAGAAATTCCTCTACTAGTACGAACTGCTGTGGTAAAATAATCAGCAGACATACCATTGGTTATCCATTTTTTCTCTCCATTTACTATGTAATAATCTCCATCATCAGTTAACATCGCCTTAGTTTCGAGATTTGTTACATCAGATCCTGCATGAGGTTCTGAAACAGCAAGACAAATAATCTTTTGTCCATTAAGACATTCTGGTGCGATTCTCCTCTTAAGTTCCTCACTTCCAAAATTCAAAATTGGCGGAAGCCCGATACTCAATCCTTATAAACATATATTAAACGTATATGAATTGACTAATTAAAACTTATCATGATAAAGTTTCCATTTTATCACCACAATACCTACCGCTACCGATATAAGAAAGAACACCACCAGATCCACAACGACACAATTCATCACCAACAATAAATTCTGTGAAATTATCAAATTCTTCGGCTTTGATTCCTCCAATAGGTAAAATGTCAGTGTAACTAAATAATAATGATGATGATGATGATGATGATGATGATGAGTTTACAAATCATTAATCATTTACATATACCAACTATACATATTAGCACATACTCTTTTGGCCATGGAGCTCCTACGAAACCAGTCACAATACCTGCTTTGGCAGCTTTTACAAATAATTCTTTAGGAATTTTTTTAGCTTCATCCCATTCATGAACGTAAGGCATAATTTCAACCTCGACGAATTTTCTCACAGCAGCTCGTACACGACGATGAGAATCATTATAATACGGACTATAAAAATCTTGATACCAATATGGGTCACCAAACGGTACGAGATCACCAAATGATCCTTCACCTGACGGTGCTTCTTGATTTATTTCTTCAATTTGCCCAGAGCCGATTTTACCAATAAATAATTTAGAAGAATATTTTTCTAGTGTGCCCAAGGTATGGAAATCATCAAATTGTTTTGTGGCGTCTGTGCCAGCCACTTTCATTAAAATTTTTACCCCGCCAGGATGTTCATTGAGAAAATTCGTAACGTCAAAGACTTTATCATGAACTACGATCCAAATAGAGCTCTCTGTATTATGTTGAGCAATTTCTTCAAGTGTAAAAAATTTAGTCATTTTTAAATATATTATTTATTAATTAATTGAATTTCTTTAAGTTATATATGTTAACAATAAATTTTATTTTTATTTTTTTTAGAAAAAATCAATTGCTCGTATTTAAATATTCATTCATTCACAGTGAATCTCGATTTAACGGACCTCGATTTAACGGATACTGATTAAAACATCTCGATTTTACTGATAAGTTCAAAAGACAGTACCTCAATAAAAACCTTCTCGATTCACTGTGTACATATTTTATTGAATTAAAAATTGACCATAAAATTTTCTATTTTTAAAACCTTCCTTTACTGTCACTAATTACTTTTACCTATTAATATTAATATTAAAAAAAAATTATATGAGCTATTTTTATACCTAGTAATAAATTGGTCCATATTAACATCAGTCATATAAAACTCCAATCGTATGACAACCACGGGCTTCATTAAAGCTTTCTAATAAACATTCTTCTGTATAGAATGAGTCCTTCAAAAGGTTTATTTTAAAGCAAGGCTTTCTTTTCGACGTGGAATAATTAAATTCGCATTAATATAACAAATTTTTGATGCAATTCTTTTATCCCCATTTGATAACACGAGTAATGATCAACAATCATCATATCAAAACATCAAAAAATCCCTATTCATGAAAGTAAATTATGCGTTAATTATGCATAAATCATCACCAAAAAATATCAATTATGTGATTGTCAATAGCACCACCCATAGAATGATCACAAAAAAATCCTCCATCAATAATATGATTCGAAGATGACTGCAATACTATAATTTGGGGATAATAGCGTATTAAATTTAACCTAAAAAAGGAAACTCCAATTGAAAAATTGTCACCATAAGGACTACTCATTAATACATTTTCATAAATAATTATCCAAGAGAATATCAGCTTTCGGGCATTAATTTTCGGACCAATGAATCCTAATTTGGTAATAATTGTCTTGGCATAATGACCAAAATAGTAATAGTTTAATCAATTTAGTTGGCCAAGTGTTCATTTAGGTTACACGGTTAGACGATCTCAAAAACAATTTAGACACCCATCTATAATAATTATCAATCCCTTAAACGAATTTTTGGTCCAAATTTAGTCCAAATTTTGAATTCGGATATTTTACACAAATAAAAGTTCTGTAATATCACCTGGGTGTTGCGTGTACTATTTAAAAACCTTCTCGAATAGAATCTCAATATGTAAATCAAAATAAAAAAAAGTCGTTATAATGTAAAATTTCTGAAAATGACCAAAGAATTTCCGAATTCCATTTTTGATATCATACGATTTTTTATTCCAAAATTTAAATGATGTGAGTCTGTACTTTATGTAATGTTGCCTTATGTTTATCTTCAAAAAGGAATTGTTTTTGTAAAATATCATAGTTAATTTTTTTGTTTTTTTTTTTTTTTTTTTTTTACATAATTTTATTTATGAAAATTTCTTAGCAAACACGTAGAGTATGTACACGTGTCACATGCGTTACATAATAAAATTTGCATCAATAAAAAAAGTTAACTTTTTTTTAAACTTTTTTAGAGTGAGTGTTTTGCTTGAGGGTTTGGGACTCCCTGAAATACATAACATTTCATTTTGCATCTTACATATGATTCGTATGTGCGTATATATAACACGAGACAAGGTTGATTTGTGAAAATGATGGGATGATCTGATATGATAAAATAAAGTGATGGTTAGAGATTGTGTGGTTGGCACTTGTTCAACTTCCCAAAAACGGGCCAAAAAAGGTTGTTTGGACCAAATTATGGGATGATCCAATGTGATTGTGAACCAATATAATGTAAAATAACGTGCAACGTAACACCGTGTTTACACACGTAGTATAAAAATAGAAACTGCCTTTATTTATTGTAAGGCAATGAAGTTACATGTATTACACAAAAAAGAAAATGACTACACATAGTTAACTTATTTGTTAGTTCATTAGGCGTCCTCAGAAATTAAAAATTCGATTTGATTAAAATATTTTGACAGACTTAAACAGATTAGCCGGCTAATCGGCTAACATCATCAGATATATTAATATTACATATGTCATTTCTTAATATTAGCGGATAATGATAATGAACTGATATGGTTATGGTAGGAAACAAAGGAATATTATGCTAAATTGATAGAATATATTAGAAAATGACTTTTCGATAAAACGTCCTGTCGGTATAACGGAATCGGTATAATGTCTGTCGGTGTATCGGGGTAAACCCATCGATATAAATAATATATACAAAAAGTTGATTTTTTCCATGAATTCATGAATTGTTTAAAAACAAAAAGATTAATAACAAAAACCTCACGTACATATTATATATAATAAGAAAAAAAAATGCCAAAAGATATGATTTAAATATAATAATAAATCAAGTTTCCCACCGCAGACCAATAAATTTATAATAAGCATTTCCGAAAACTGGACCTCTTGTTAATGTTGGCAAATCCGATAAATCCAATAATTTGAGATATAACTTCTTTATCATATGTATCTGCTTTAAGAAAATTTTTAAAGCAGGTTGTTAATAAAACCGAAAATAATCTGATCCTCAAAGTCAAATTTTGCCTTTATATAAACGTAAAATTTTGTTTAACGCGTCCAATTGCAAGTATAAGTAGAAATAAATGTCCAAATGTGAATATTTCACAGATTTTTGATCACTTAAACATGTCTTTTATATATAGTAAAATCATTTATTTTAAAAGTAAATATGATAAATAAATAGATATTAAAATTTTTCTTTTACATTTATCCCTATATACATATGTAAATAATGATTAGAACAATAAATTCGTGCATGTGCCGCCGCTCGCTCACTGCGACGTTTAACTTAAAATCTTGTTTGTATTACATTCGTATAACGTCGAAATTAGTTAACTTTATTTAGAAATTAGCAATTAAAGTGCGATGTCGCGATTAGAATACTAGATTGCAATGAAGTTGTTACTAATCAATTTAATTGTATATAAGAGGCTCAAATTCGACATACTTGTAATAATTTTGTAAGAAGTTTTTATAATAAAAATTAACTTAGAAATAAGTTAATAAATTAGTTTCGACTAAATAAAACGTTTTTCTTAATCACTAAACCAAAATTATTCGTTAATAAAACTAATTCGTCAGTAATAGCCAATTCATTCTGATCCACATAATCATAATTTATATCGTTATCATCAATTAACACACTCTCCCAAAAGTGTTACGGATATTCGAATAAGAATTTCCATTAAAATATGGTGTTAGAGATATGAATAGAAACACTACTTGTAGAGAGTTAAGTTTTAATATGAGCAGATAAAAAACATTGGTTTATCATGTATATTCATTCATTTTATCAATGCATCATCTTAATTATTGTATAATATTTGTCACCGATTAAATTTGGGAGAGCGTGTGATAACAATTATTTTTGTTTTGTGTGGATCAGAAGGAATAGGCTATCAATGAATTGATTTTGGTATTGGCAGATAATTTTGTTTTAAAGAAGATAAAAGTGTCAAATAAAATATTTACTATTTTATTTATTTAGTTGTTCTTAGTTGAATCTAATTAACTTGTAAGTAAGTCACTTTTACAGTAGTGTCACCAATTATTGTTTGGGAGAGCGTGTTAATTGATGATAACAATATAAAATTTATGATTATGTGGATCAGAATGAATTGGCTAATAAAGAATTAGTTTTATTAGCGAATAATTTTGTTTAGTTTTATTTAGTCGAAACCAATTTATTAAACTAAGACAAAGTTATTTTACAAGCAAGTCGAATTTGAGCTTCTTTTATACAGTTAAATTAATTAGTAATAACTTCATGGCAATCTAGGATTCTAACCGCGACGCTAATTTCTAAATAAAATTAACTAATTTCGATCAAATAAAATAATAAAAAAATGTTGAATAAAAATAAAATAAGAAATGAAAATATAAAGTAAAAATAGAAATAAAAGATTTGATTCGGAATTAGGGTATTTCAACAAATCAGCGTTAAATCCTAATTCTGGTAACAGTAGGTCGAAATTGAGTTCTTTATACACATATTCATTTACATATGAACCCGCATTGGGCGATTTCGGTCATTGTCATTAATCTATACTAATACTAAATAAAATTAAATAAATATTAACGTGCTACGAATTAATTAATGTTAATTAAATATACGGGACGTAAACGATAAACAATTATAAAATAAACAATTAGAAAATAAATAAAAATAGAATATGACAGAAATAAAAGAAATCAATGAAATTAAAAATAAATACAGTGCGGATCATCTATACTCAAAAGTTAAAATTTTTGAAATATTATGAGATTCACACATTGGATTTTAAAAAAC